CATACGCTTTGTTTGTGTTAACGTCAGACCAAAAAACAAAAAATGTGGTTTACCAAAGAGCACTTCAATGAAACGGATGATTTGCGGATTCACTTTCATTTACTCAGAGAAGTTCAACTAAAAAACAATACATTTTTGTAATCGAAATAAATTCATTACTGTTATGTAATAAAATCAAATTTTTCCTTTTCAAATATAAAACAAACAAAAATTTATTCATCTTTCTCACGAAACCATCTGGTGGCGAAACGGAGTTCGTCGGGTTTGCTAGTATTAAAATAAAAATTATTATATATCGCCACCGCTGGCCCACGAATTATAAATATTACCACAAACTTGATAAATTATTCATAATATATAACCGAATATAAATTACACAATAAAGAAAAATAAATATACAAATGATTAGTCGATTCACGATTAAAGCAGGTGCACAATTACTAATCAAGCCGATAATATGAAATAATAATAATGTAGGTAGTGTTATGAAAATAATTAAAATGATTATTCTCGAAGGTCAAATAATAATATAATCTAATTAATAACAATTAATTATAAGTACAATGCACAAATGGCCAACTGAAGTACCTGCTATAAAATTTTTAGTAATTACAAACAAAAAACAAATTAGTACTTATGAAGTACTTAATTATAATGAACTGATAAAAAATTTCGATAACACTGCAGTATAGAAAGTGAATTAAAACTTCTTAAATACTGCGTTAAACGATTTACTATAGTTATTCAAAAAAATAAAAAGTTCTGATGAAGATCTGATGATTAGGTATAATTATTATAATTAACTTCCTGCAAGATAAGTTATAGTAATCGCAAAAAAATAGAAAATGCAAATTTTTATATATCTTTACGTTTCAAAGGTTTCTGAATATATTGGCATACCTTCTGTACCTGTTTGATATTTTTATAAAAAAAATAGTACGTTTTCAAAATAAGTAACAATATTCAATAAAGAATGTTAGAAGTAGACACCTAGCAAATAGAATAAAAAAAATTTAATGAATAAACAAACATGAATAGAAGTTATGAGTATTACTTTAGTTAAATAAAAAATACAAATGAGTAAGAGTAAAAATAAGTTTGTATATAAAAAGTTGCATATATAATATATATGGAATTAAATTTCTGCACGTTGTTCTATGGAAATTTTTTGGAAACGCAATAGGAAAAAGGTTCTGTAGTAATTTATTGTATCTGGTTATTTTGAAAATATTAGAATCAATTAACCAGAAATAACTATCAACCAGATTTAAAATTATTATTTAAATCATAAAACGAAAAAATTATGCAACTGAATTCCACAGAAAAGGTTTTTCATTATATTATCATTATATTGAAACATATATGTATAGAAATAATAGAACTTAATGTTCTGTTTTATAGTTACCATGAAATAATTTATCTGTAGATATAAAACAAATATAAAAAAGTATTAAAAATAACATTCGATCATAGTTATAACTATGGACAAAAACATTAATAGTGGTCACAATTTATATTTCAAGATTAAATCGAAAAATCATTTTGAATTATTCATTGCGAAGGTAAAATAAAATATATTTAAATTTTATCATAGATTATGAAATAAATAAAAACAGTATTTGGTTTTGTGATTTGTACTACCAATGTTTTTTTTCTAACTTTCCGTAGGGTAAGTTATAGTAATCGCAAAAAAAAGAAAACAAAAATTTTTACATATCTTTACGTTTCAAAGGTTTCTGAACATTTTGATTCACATTAGAAAAATGAATGTATGTATGTGTATGTGTGTGTGTGCGTGTGTGTGTGCGTCGACGATTTCGGAAACACCGAGCAACCAATTTGAATAATTAAAAAAACGTTCGATTCCTATTAATAAGGAGACGTTGATTAATTTTTGGCCAAGGCAGGTCCAGCCGTTTCGAAGTTACGGGGCAAAAAGTGAGAAAAATAGCAAATCAGTTTTTGAGAGAACGAAGCGTCTAATTTGAATGATTCAAAAAATATTTTATTTGTATTGAAGAAATGAAGTACCGTTCAATTTTTGGAAAGGTAGGTCCAGCGGTTTCGGAGATCCCATAAAAAAGGTAGAAAAATGTATTTTGGCGGTCAAAAATGATCATTAGACATATGCACATCAAATTATCTGATATTTTATAGAGTTTTTGATGATAAGTACAAATGGGTTTCGTACCAATGTTAATTCGTTAGACTGAGAGGCGGCGCTTACGCGCTTCGATATTTCGTCTCTAAAATAGCTACGGAGCGCCATTGCTTCCAAAAAAGAATTCAGAATTTTCAAAAAAAAATATATGAAAAAAGTCAATTTGTTTCTAAATTTCAAGATTCTCAAAATCAAATTTATTAAAAGTTTTCAAAAAATGTTAAAGGTTTTAAAGATTTTAAATTACGCTACGGGAAGTTCCAGCAATTTGCCTTAAGGTACGATGCCATGCACCACTAGTTTATTTCATCTGATATAAAAAAAGGAAGCTATATTTTCATTTGAAGATAGCAAAACAATAATTTGGTCCATAATTTTAATGGTATCATATTATTCATTTTCATTGTGATGCAGAATGACATGAATGCTATAGCATTCAAATTTTATAGTCAATTATTTTGAATTTAATTTTATAAAATCTTACGTTTTTGTTATTATTATACCTGTCAAGGTAAGAAACTGATTCTTTAGGTATTTTCGTATTATCTTATCTTTTCCGGTAGTCATAAATAACCCTGGGCGTATAATGGAAACGAAATACTTGACGTGGGTGCTATGGCATTCATCGTATACAGTGGCACCTCGACTTACGAGTGTTCCGAGATACGAGCCGACAAAAGACCGATTTGTTGCTTCGACATACAAGCAAAACTCGAAATACGAGCTTTGAGCGAATAAGAGTTTTCTAGAAGCATGTTAATGGCAAAATGAAAATATGAAAATTTTAGTCAGTTGTATAGTGAGTAATAGTAATTGTACAGTTAGGGGGCGTCCATTAATCACGTGAGGTTTTTAGGGGGAGGAGAGGTTTCACAAAAAATCACGAAATATCACGTGGGGAGAGAGGGGTATAGTAAGATACCACGTGTATTTACTTTATACCTGTATTTTTAAAAAAATCCAAAATAAAATAAAAAAAAATACAATTTTTTCTCGCAACTGAAAATACGCGTGATGTTTTGTGGGGGAGGGGGATTTGGAATATCGCCACGTATCACCAAGGGGGAGGGGAATCCAAAAATCCTCAAAAAAATCGCACGTGATTAATGTACGCTTCCTTATATATGTTGAGTTCACATTTTTGAAATTATTGAAAATTATTGGGAAATATGAGGATGACAAGTATGTACCATCATAGATATGTACTGTACCACTGTATAACGATTAATATAATTACTAATCTAACTATCCTTATGAACGGTGTTTAATCAAATTTCGTGTAACACAACCAATTTAACACTTTGGGGACGGCTGTCTACCTCAGTGGACAAACATACTCTGTGAGGCACAGGCTATTTTATAAACAATGACTCAGTTTGCATCGAAAAGTTGAATAAATTACATATAGCAGTGATAAACAGTATTGTATTTTGAAAATAATTTTAAATTATTTTAGTAGTATTTTTAGCCTTTTTCTTTGCTATATGATCTTTTTTTAATATTTAAAACGACCGAGCGCTTTTAAAAATGGCAACACGACTAGTAAATTTTGTGAATTAAGCAGTAGTGAAGATGAGTTTCAAATAGACATTCATACAGACAAATTTTACGAAATTACTATTCGCACCGATAATAGTGATGAATGTGATGATGATATTATCCAACCAACAAAAAGAAGAAGTTGGACAAAATAAATGAATTCAATAATCTACAAATACCAAGCAATATAAGACATGCAATAGATTATCTTACTTCATATTTTATAAATGAATTATTAGACAACATAATAGAAAAAATAAACCATTAGGCAGCAAAAAAATGACCAAATATACTGACTAATCAGTGGAATATTCTAAATTCTAAAAAAAAGGATTATATTGTCTGTTCTGACAGAAAAGCACCAGGAGGAAAGCGGCGAGCAACATTTTATTGTAAAACATGTCAAAATCAACCAGCTATGCATTTTGGAAATTGTTTTGAACGTCACCATTCTTTATAAAATGATCAAAAATAAATTAATATTAAAAATGTATGTCCTTCAATGACCACAAATTTTTATCAAACAAATTGCATAACATACACAATAAAATCAAGTTTAAAGCCGGTAAAGTAGATTGTTTTGAAATCGGTGCCGTCCCGAAAGTATTAATATAATTACTAATCTGATTACCCTTATAAACGGTGTTCAATAAAATTTCGGATATCACAGCCAATTTAAAATAAAAATGATTGTCAATTTTTGTACCTTGCTCAAACTTTTACTGTCCGCGAACGTGTTAATAAAAGTGATTTTTAAGAAGATATTGGATTTCTTCACCAAGAAATCTGAACAAAAACTATAGAAAATCGTCGGATCTAAAATCAATAACAATATTTCGATATTTTAAAGAGAATGACGAACGCTGGTCTATAGAGCTATTATATCCGCATTCGAATCAACTCTACAGAAATTGTTTGAAAGCAAAACGTCACTGTATATGTAATAAACAATACATGAACACATGTCTGTTACATGTCGAATGTGTTGGTGCACATACCATGCCATACGGAGAGCAACAGGTCACAGGCAAAGAACTAAAGAACCAAACGAAACATTATACATGGATTTCGCAGAAGAAAAATAATACGTATAATAAAATATATATACACGATAATTGTCGCTTCTGTAGAATATTTTATATTTGGAAGAAAACAATATCCATATGAGAATTATACAAGCATATGTACGTAGTATGTAATCCAATACAAAGGCGATTGCGACGTATACCGCAGGAATGCATTGTATACGATACACAAACACTCCTCTTGGGGAATTGAATATATTGCAAAATTTAATTACCTGACATAATAACGATCTTAAATCCTTGTCACGAAACAGAAATTAACTATCCAGAAACACTCAAAATCACCACACACGGAGTATAAATATACAAAGAACCAAACGAAACACTTGTTCAAAACAATAAATAAAGTTATTAATGAATCATAAAAAACACTGTATCCTTATTTCACTAAAAAATCTCACTGAACACCTTTATAGGTAAATTAATTATTTTATTATCCACTGTCGATTTATATTTTTTTTTTTTTGTTCGATCAGACGTAAACAACTACCCGCGACGAATATCCAGCGTATACTATCCACAAACGATACACGCGAGTATATCAAGAATGAAGGAAAACGAAACATCAACGGAACGAACGGTTTCGTATCCAAGCGGAGACCGACGACGCAGCCCGCCGAACTCTCGGAATTGTACGTAGTGAGGAAGCTGGCAAGAAGGCTTACACTTTTTTTTCGAATCAGTTGAAATGTTTATACACTAGTGGCGCATGGCGTCGTGATGATACTATATACAACTGATAATAAAACTAGTGGTATATGACATCGTGCTTTAATACTTTCGGGACGGCACCGATTTCAAAATAATCTACTTTACCGGCTGTAAACTTGATTTCATTGTGTATGTTATGCAATTTGTTTGATAAAAATTTGCGGTCGTTGAAGGACATACATTTATAATATTAATTTATATTTGATCATTTTATAAAGTCTGGTGACGTTCAAAACAATTTCCAAAATGCATAGCTGATTGGTTTTGACATGTTTTACAATAAAATGTTGTTCGCCGCCTTCTTCCTAGTGCTTTTCTGTCAGAACAGACAATACAATCCTTTTTTCTTTCTCTCGCATTAAGAATATGCCACAGGTTAGTCAGTATATTTGTTCATTTTTGTGCTGCCATATTGGTTTGTTCTTTCTATCATATTGTCTAATAATTCATTTGTAAAATATAAAGTAAAATAATCTATTGAATGTCTTATATTGCTTGGTATTTGTAGTCGGGGTGTTTGTTGATGTATGTCAATCTCGATTATTGAAACAGAATCGGCACAACCGCTAATGTCTTTCCGCTCTTCATTTATTTTATCGAACTTCTTCTTCTTTTTGTTGGTTGAATAATATCATCATCACATTCATCACTATCATCGGTGCGAATAGCAATTTCGTAAAATTTGTCTGTATGAATGTCTATTTGAAACTCATCTTCACTACTGCTTAATTCACAAAACTTACCAGTCGTTTTGCCATATTTAAAAGCGCTCGGTTTTAATTAAAAAAGATCATATAGCAAAGAAAAAGGCTCTCAATAAAATATCTAATAATTTGATGTGCTCATGATCATTTTTGACCGCTTTGTTTTTTGGCGTTTTTTTACTTGAATCTCCGAAGCCGCTGGACCTGACTTCCTAAAAATCAGTTAATCAGTTCTTTTTCGTTTTGTCAATGAAATAAAATGTCAATGCAAACATCATTCAAATTGGGCGCTCTGTTCTCTCAAAAATAGAATTACCATTTTAAGCACTTTTTGCCACGTATCTTCAAAACGGCTGGGCATGCTTTTGCCAAAAAATAATCAGCTCCTTATCAGATAAATTGTTCATAATAACCATTTACAAATTAAACTAGCTGTAAGTGGAATTCTGTCTTAAGGCAATTAAGGCATCGTGCCTTAAGGCAAATTGCTGGAACTTCCCGTACCAAAAATTATTATTTTTTTAAAAACGATTAACATTTTTGAAAAAAAATTACTTTGAAAAAATAAGATTTTTGACAAACAATTAGACAAAAATTTACTTTTTTTTTGAAAAAAAATTTTTTTTTTATTTTTTTTTTTTTGAAAAAAAATGTTTTCTTTATTTTGACATATTTTGAAAGATCTAAACTTTTTTTCAAAGCCATCGTACTGCTGCATAAAGTTATTGTTAAATGAAAAAAATTTTTAAATTTAATTATTATTATTTAATGAAAACTTCGATAACGCGGGTGAGAAATTCGCAAATTTTTAACTGTGTTAGAAAACGCTAATTATTTAAGACTTTAATACGTACTGAAAATCTTATAAGTATCTAATCGAGTTCAAAATTAACTTTATTACATTTTTATTCGCATTTTTGAACTGTAAATAGAACGTAACTGTCAAATGAGTTGTTCTCTTTTACCTTGTTTCTAGACGGCAAGAAATATATATATATATATATATATAAAATATAAATATTAAATCTTTCAGACTCAAAAAAAAATTCAATTTCCCACCAGCCGTCCGTCTATCCCAGGCGAATAATAAATAGTCAGGCAAATGTATACTACAGGCGCAGGCGAATAGTAGACGACACATACAACAACGGCCGCCTGTACGTGCACGGCGCACACAGGCTCAGGAGACGCTCATCAGTCGCTACACGCATTAGGCATTCTCGGCCTGTTCGCGCATACATTCTGTAGTATACGCATACCAGGAACACACTAGAGGACCTCGGTTAAGGAATCTCAACTATAAAAGGGTTAAATTAATTGATATAGCTGAATAACTATAACTTTAATTTTAGATATTAATTTTGTTATGACTGTGTAGCTGTTCATTGCTCTCTTTAAAAGTCAATGATATATGTATTACGGGTCATCATAAGAATACTAATACTTTTTTCTATTGTTTTGAACAGCAATCAGATCTTAAGAGTCGCTGTTGGGCTAATTTGACTTAGATCTACGTCCATTTTACAGATGGCAACCCACCCAAACAGTGATGAATTATTATTACAATTTCTGTAATAGAGAAAATATTTTGTTGATCGATCAGGGCTATTATCACTTGTAAACATACTGCTATCTATATTTCAAAGTAAAAACGGATGTCACTACTACTTGACATCATGCTCCTCGAAGCGGAATCGAACCCGGAATCTCTGATTCAAGTCCAGTCGCTGTAGTCACTTAAGCTCGAATCACACGGAGCTTGTTTTGCTGCTTTATGGCTCTGCTTGCCAGGTACCTGGCTGTAGAGGGTTCAAAATGACGTCATAGCGATCTCGGTTACTTGCCAGCATGCTGGATTTCAACATTAGAACGTGCGCTATTTTTCGTGCTGGATTTGCCCGCACGGACCAATCGGGAAGCAGTATTTTGTCACATGGATCATCACGTGACGGCACTGCTGTCAAACTTGGAAAAAGAGTGCGACAATTTTGGAAATAGTTATGAAATCAATGTCGATTGATCGGTCTCGGCAAAAACATATAGTTTTTTCAAATTTTATTTCATTTAGATAATTTAAAAAAAATATAAACGTAAATGATATTCAAAAACATTTTCATTTCATTCAAGTATAAACATTTTTTGTTTTTTTTTTTATATATAGAAACATTTTGATTTTAATTTATTTTAATTATTTCATTTATTGGAGAAATATTATTGAAAAATAGATTTCTAAAATTAACAAAAAAAATTTTTAAATCATTTAATATTTAAAATTAAAAGATAGATTTATAAATTTTACTAAAACAATAATTAAATTTTACAATATAATTTATTATTTGTATTCATAATAATAAAAATGATTTTATTTATTTTTAATAATAACATTTCAATAATTTTAATTCAAATTTATGAAAATTTAAATAAATATATATAACTTTCCAATTTTTTTAATTATTACATTAATTATCTCTTTACTATATTAATTTTATTGAATTGTTTTATTAAAATTAATATTATTTCTATGGTCCATATTAAACAGAAAAAGGTAAAATAAAAGTATTGTTCTTAATCATTTGTGTAGAATTTCGAGGTTATATCGCACGGCATCTAGTTTTTGTACAGATGCGTTGTTCATTTTTACCACTTTTAAGGTTATGTCGCACGCAACCGATTCACTTACTAACCAACGCTCAAAAACAAGCCTCGTGTGATGCGTACGGCTTGAAAAATAGCATGATTTATAGCGCCGTCATCGGCGAAAAAATCAAGCGGGAAATCCAGCGTCAGAAAACAAGCCTCGTGTGATTCGGGCTTTACCCACGTCTGACCTTAACTCAATAATGCTAATATAAGTAGATTTCCGTTTTTCCTTCGAAATGTATCAGGTGATATTAAAATATTGAAAATTTAATAAAAAGAAAAAACTTAAACGTATGAATTTATTTATTACAGTATAACGCTTACTCAACATAAATACACATTTTTTGTGAAAATTAAAAAATCTATATACAAAATTCACACAACTGCGATTCGCCCAGCGATATATAGGATGGCCCATTTAAAAATTGGAATTTATCGATAGCAACTTGCCGGCCACACCGTGCGGAATTCGAAGTTGCGATACATGAGAAAAAACTAAGAATTTTGAGACCTTTCTAACGATGTTCAATACTTTATATGTTTTCTTTACAGAAATATCTAAACCGTACTAGATCACTAGGACCACTAGATGGACCACCCGTTATATATAGTACAATATTTTTGACCATATCATATTTATGGACCGATTCTGCCGCATAACAGAAAAATGTTATGGCAAGGCCATGTTACGCTCCAACTTCCATACATTATGCTACAGAATCATACTGAATACTGTCAAAATATCATGTATTGCTGTGCATTCAGGCGTTTTACACATAAACTGCAACGTCTATCGTATGTTATGAACCTGAGTCAAAAAGACCCTGTTATCTAACACCGTTTTTTTACATTTGTGCGGTTTCTACTAGGTTAGGTTTTCTATCTGACCACCTGAGAAATGCGTCTGACTGCACAGCAACTACATGGCTTTTTCAATATTTAGTATGAAAAGTCCTTCATAACATAGCCTTGCCATATCATTGGTCTGTTATGCGGCAGAATCGGTCCATTAGTTATAATTTATCATATTTATCATATTTGTGCTTCCCCGTGGTTAGAGTTATGAACTTCGAATCAGAAATTTCACGTCCGGTACCCGCCTTGTGTAATCTGATGTCTAGCAGTAGTAACATCGGTTAGCACTTGAAACTATATATAGCAATATGTTTCAAGTAAAAATAGTCCTGATCCGTCATTGCTGCACCAATAAAAAATCATCAGTATTACAATAACTAATAATAAAAATCTTAACAGACAACCTTTGGGTGGCCATCTATAGA